CTCTTCCTAACAGTGAATAAAGACATAGCTGTATCTCTCACTTTCCAGAGCTACTTCCTTATTGCTGTAACTCTGATTCCACTGCCTTCTCTTCATGTCTAGCTCATTAATAGCAAACACAAACCCATTATACCAGTTGTTATCACCCTGGCAGCCCAGTTTCCCTGCACTAGCAGCAATGGCACACGTTTCCAGCCACGCTGACCGGTAATAGACGTACAAAGCCACAGATGTTGCATCCCAGAGCTCCCACCCAAACTGCACCCACATGTGCAACTTCTCATTTCACAAGGATCATAACCTCATCTAAGTTTTATACAAGGAAACTTTGGTGCAAAACCCCAGGGGTGTGCATGTTGTCCTGTGAAGAGGGCAGGCCAAGCCAGCAGGGAATGGAGGCAGCAAATGGCTTTAAATGTTTGGAGCAGGTATCAGAGGTGTCTTCACTAGCACTAGGGCATGGTTGGTCCCTTATTAATATGTCCTCAGAACCTGGAATGATATTAAAAGGCCTTTAACAGAGCACTCACTGCTCTGCAAGGTAGCAGCTTCTATATCCCCGCTTTCCCTTCCCAAGTGTATTAAGCAGCAGCAGCACTTCTGGGAGAAGTTACTTATCTCACAAACTATAATTACCTCTGGTGAGGAAAACTAAACAATTCAAACAACATACTAAAGGCCAGACCTTCTCACATCAGTGAACACAACTCTATGAAGTCAAAGGCAACATGCCGATTTATGCCAGATAAGGATCTGACGCCTGATGCCAAATGATACCATCACAGCCAGAAAAACATGAAACTTCAGAGACAGTTCACCTGAATCGTTATAATCCCTATAAATTATCGTATGGCATATGTACATGATGATAATGAGATGAGAGAATTGGAGAGAAAAGCAAGGTAAACAAGAATGACCAGACACGACAAGTGTGGATAACTCATACCCTACTTAGTTTCATTCACTACTCCGTGTTTTCTAGCTAGATCGTAGAGCCACTACGGTAGGTTTTTCAGCCACTTATTGTCTAGAAACATTAAGTCACTCACTGCTAGTCCTTTATAGGTAACAGTTAATACCATTACTACTATCATAAAAACAGTATTTTCAGGCTCTTCACAGTAGCTCTCTTCCTCTACTTTAATGATGTATTTCCCTTTTCCATTTCTCTGTCTCTGGTCTCAGAAGAGCTTGACGGCACTCGGTCCCTCCAAGATCAGAGTCCTTAGGGAACACATGATAAACCCATGCTTGTATGGGCTGAGATAACTTGGATACAAGACACTCACCGACTGATTGTCATCATCTTCACACTTGATCCGGCACTCGCTGTTGAACTGGAAGCCATTGGAGCACTGGTAGAGCCCATGAAACTTGGAAGGAGGAGGGTCGCAGGTAACGGGCACACAAGCGCCCGGCAGCCATGTGCCATCCTGTGTGCACTGGATCTTAAAGGCTCGCCTGTTGGTGCAGGAAAAACCAAGACCATTCAGGGACTGGCTGAGTCAGCTAAGAGCCTCTAAAGCCTCTGAGCTCTGCAAGCAGGTCGCAGGGAATGGGTGCGCGTCAGCTTTTAACACTTGGGGAACAAATTGTGAATCTGCGTCATGAAGTCTCCGAGCAAAAATAATGATTATTTGCAAAGCCAGTATTGAGCTGCCCAGCTTAAACTCCTCTTTTGGCCTTGGACATGTCTCCTAAAACTCTACTTCCCATGCTTGTGGGCTGTGGTTGGTTTGAAGTGGGTTTGTGCGAAGTCAGAAGTTTACAATAGCACTAACCCTTTCCTGTAGAGCTTCAGAGGGGACTCCCCAGGCTGCATATCAAAGGGGTATTACTACGGTAAGGTCTGGTTTTGAGCACTGGTTAGGATTTTCAAAGAAGCCTAAGTGAGGAAGGTGCCTAAGTCCCCTTGAAACTGCACAGCTATCTGCATGAAGGAATTGCTCATAGAATCCCAGACTGGTTTGGGTTGGAAGGAACCTTAAAGCCCATCCAGTTCCAACCCCCTGCCACGGGCAGGGACACCTTCCACTAGAGCAGGTTGCTCCAAGCCCCTGTGTCCAACGTGGCCTTGAACACTGCCAGGGATGGGGCAGCCACAGCTTCTCCGGGCACCCTGTGCCAGCGCCTCACCAAATATTCAGTGATATTCCCTACAGCACACGTAGTCTGTTATAAACAGCCCATCCCTTTCCCAAAATAATTTTAGCTCATGGCTTTCTGAATCATGCTGATGGCATGGCTTTACTCTTGCACGTACTTTCTGGCTTTTCTGGAGGATCCAGGGACATGGTAACCTGGTTTGCATTTGTACTTGCAAAACGAGCCCACTTTGTGCTTATCTTCTCGGCAACGACTTGTCTGGAGATCTGCATTAGGGACAACGGAGGGTGCTCGACACATCAGCTCACAGAGAGCCTCTGGAAAGGACCACAACCCATCCTCCATGCAGGTCAAGTTGCTGTTGTTGCCTGAGAAGAACAGAGAGCAATGTGAACAACGTCCAGCAGGACTATTCTTTCTGACATGTCGTTACACCCATAATACATCAAAAGCCACCTCGATTGGTTTGACAAATTCAACTGTGTATGTCTTATGCATTTTCCCTATGATGGCATTAAATGATTAAGGACTCTGCTTTCAGATGACAGGCAGAGAGTGCTCATTTCAGGAAACACTATAGCATAGGGGAAACCACACTGGCTTTGTAATCTTTTGTGTTTCTCTTCCTTATTTTGTTCCTCTCTGAAATGAAGCTTGCTCATACATCAACCCCCTCCTCTCCAAAGTCATGGCATTAACAGAGCGTTTGGTTCCATTACATTCTTCATTCTGCCTCTGTGTTCTATCTCTTCCCTGAATCTGTCCTTTTTATTTCAATTTTGAGCCTTTTTGAGCAGCATCTGTTAGTATTAGAGTCACTACTCCAACACAATGAGGAGCCATTCTCAGCTGGGGACAGTCAGTCCTTGGGGACTACTGTGATAAATACGATTCATAATACTCATTAGAGACTCATTTTCCTTAGGAAGCTTTCTTGGCCAGCACCTCAAAGGTAAAAGGTACAATAGATCTATTTGCCTCTGCTATGACCTACTTGACTTCAGAAGGTTAAGCTAAAAGTAGCCTAGTCTCAGTGTATTTCACATTCTTTGTTATTTTATATTGTATGTTGAAAAGGAATAAGCTTTTCCTAAGAAACAAAGCACAGCTATGAGCCACTAACCCTTCAAAAATCCCTAATACTCTATTGAAATCCCCAAGCATTGCTGCAGGAACTCTTCTCAACCCACAAGGCATATTTTCAACACTAAGCCAACTTCAGGAGTTATCCCAAATAATACTGACAAAATGCTAACCCCAGAGCAATGCCATCTCTCTGAGAGGGAAGGAAAAGAGCTGGGGCATGAGGCTGGAATTCAAAGAAGAAAACAAAAGGCTATGGAGGCCTCAGGAAGGTATGTAGAGGAGCCCTCCTGCCCTCCCCACAAAGATAAGAGAAGCTGCATTCAATCAGGCTTGGCTTTCTCTTTCCCCTCACCGACTGCAGATGATTGCAGAGGTACTGTGTGCAGAAGGGAGCTCTTTTCTAGAGCACCAGCATGCTCCTCTGCTCTGACTCATGCAGCAGCTCTGCAAACCAGCCATGGTGATATCATACTTGCCATTGCAAAGTGATAAGCTGTGACATTACCAACAGTGGCTGTCATGACGTCAGTGATTGAGTTAGGCATGAGTCACTCCAGCGCCATTCTCCAGAAGCTTAGTGGCAACATCTATTAGTCATCACTGATGGCTCTACACCAAATGGTGCCTTTACCTCACAGCTTACAGGGCTTCAGGACAAAAGGGTAGTGATCCTACCCACCAGAGCTGCACACCCTCACCAGGGGGTTGGTTATCATCCCTCTAGCTCCCCCCATCAGAGTCATCAGCTGAAGCTGTTGTGGGTCATGATGAGTGTCATTGTTTGCACTGCTGCCCTCAAAAAATTCCAGGCATTTTCAGTGAAAAAACACCTCTTGTGGAAAATAATTTTTATGAACAGAAAAAGGGAATTCTTTGATAAAAATCTCCATTTAAGTAGTTTTAACTTTCGCTGTGTGTTGGCTGCTTGTGGTTACCCTCCTAAATCAGAGTAAAAGGAATTAAGCAATTTAAGCAATTTAGTTATATATGAAGAAATCAACATATCCCTTCACTGAAATAAAAAGTACTTCCCATGCCTCTTTGGAGGTTTGCAATGAATCCTAGCAGAAAAGGTGATACCACGTGTACAAAACAGATTACACAGCCTTTGTACCCGAGCTGACAACAGCAGTTGAGATTACTCCAGTGCAAGATGACAAGTTCATCTGGCTGCAATGTTCCTTCAAATTAACAATGATATCTTTTTGTGTTTCGCGAAGACCAGATCAAAAAGGGTAATGTGCTAGTGAGCAAAAGAGTTGGTAGTGCTGAGAGGATGATGGGGATGCTCACAGAAAAGCAGCAGGGAAGAAGATGGGGAAGGAAAGGAAAGAAGGCAGCAAAGTGTGTTATTTTTAAGAAAAAAAAACACAATTGTAGAGTTCCAAACAAGAACAGGAGAGAGAGGTCAGAGGGAGAGCAAGATGAGTGTGGAAAAGGAGAGAGGTGATGGGTGGGTTAGGAAAAACAGGGATGGGAATGGCGCTGCCGGGACATGGGACTTCTCAGTCTTCTCCTGCCTTTCCAAATACATGGAGGGCACATAGAAAAGAGTCAGACACAGAAAACAGAAGGCATGGAAAAGAAGATGAGAGAGTTCAGTTTGATTTATCCCCATGACTTTCCCATGTTTTGGTTGTATGGAAGTAATATTCACTGTCATTACTGCCTGGCCAGCCGCGATCAAGGAAAGGTCAAAGGAAGGTAATAGAGAGATGCAAAGGAACTTAACTTCTAATATAAATAAACCTTCCCATAGAGTCTCATAATTCCTCATACTTAAAATATCATGAATAATTCTAAACCAACAGCAGCAGTAACATAGATTACTAGGAACAGTCTGTGTTAGTGGTGTAGCTACCCCCAGGTCATGGCACAGACACCTTCTGTTACCTTTCAGAACAGCAGGAGGTCGGCAACTGAAGGAGCATTTCTTGCCAAAGGTGGTGCCCTCGCTGCAGTTGAAGGTGGCTGGGTAGACATGGTACTGGTCTGGGACACCGCAATCCACAGGCTCGCATGTCACCTGCTTGTTCCACTTCCCATCTGTGCAAGTCATGGTGATGCTGGACTCCATCTGCAAAAAGGCACATGTCTACAGCCACCACAGCCAGCAAGATCAAAACCATTCCAAGCCTAATAACAGCTATTAACGTGGCTCACAAGTTAAGCAACACGGGGCCTGATCTCTACCATCACCATTTGGACAGCAGCTACTAAAACCAAGGTCCTACAAGAAAGAGGGTCAGAGAACCAGGATGGATTTTTGTCACACCTGGGTGGGAAACCAAAGTGCTTCAATATAAAGAGCAGAGCACTACAAATAATCAGAACTCTTGTCTGCATTGTCTCCTGAGACAAGCTGAGAAGTTGGCTGAGCTGTTTGGAACTGTTTGGAGCTGACAGACATTCCCAGGTCCCTGTCACTGTGCAGTGACACAGCCACTCCAAGGGGATCCCTGTGTACTTCTCAGAAGTCAAACTCACTCTTGAATTTGAAGTAAAAGCCAACGTGACATGAACCCATTTGGGACTCTCATCTGAGGCTCTCCCAGGAGATGTCAGTCACCCTTAGGCTGGGGTACCAAGAGAGGTGGCCCAGGCCATGTTAACATTGTGTTCAGATACTGACAGCTGCTGCTATGGCTTTGACTATCAGAGTGTCCTGAGGCTCCAAAAGAAACCAGGGCCCTGCTGTCCTGGCACTGGGAACACACCCTGAGAGACAGGCTTTTCCCTGGAGAGACCTGCAACAGAGAGACCCCAGAGCATCCTGTCCATACATTCACCTGGCACTTGAGAGGTTGAATACAGAGTCAGTGCCTGTGCTGTGACTTCCCTAAAGTCACTCTATCATCACAGCTACCCAGTGGCTACACTTCTATTGATTTGAGGAATAATACAAACAATGCAGCAGATTGAAATCCTAAAGTGCTAGGGAGAGAGAAAATAAGGGGCGGGGAGGCAAAGGAGCCACCCAAAACTAAGATGAAGAATTTACTGGGTGACCGAAGAACAAACAGATGTTGACAAAGAGACCGAACAACATATCCATTTCCGAAGTAAAAAGGGAAAATTAACAACTAGAAGTGAAGAATCTGAAAGTAGCACTCTTCCCTCCTTACCAGAATAAAGAGAAGGGCAGAAGAAAAAGGAATGTGAGAAACCCAAACACGAGAAGGGGAAGATACCGTCGAGGAATCTGACCGAGCCGTACAGCAGCACTGCTCTGCCTCCAGGGAATATTTTATTCAGGGCTGGTACGCTCACAGGAGATTTGCACTGCTGACCATTGATCTGGGTTTATAAAAGGAAGGAGAATTTTTCTAGCACACATCAAAGGGACCTGGATTCCCTTTTTGCAAAAACACCCTAATGGTTTTAACAGAAGTTCAGACCTGTCTCCCTTTGATATATGGTTGCATTCAGAATGGAAAAAGCAGTCCCAGAGCTGAGAAACTGGACACTTCCCCAGTGGGCACAAAACCCCTTTTCTAGACCGTGGAGTTTGTTTAAACAGGGAGCACTGCTGATGGAAAAAAATGTTGTTTCTGCAAATTCAGAGTAGCACATTCTGGGATTCCTGGAGCGCTCAGGTGAAGTGACACTCTGTGCTCTCATTCCCAGTCATTTTGCTCCCCAGCGGCTGTTAGTTCTGCCTTTGTTGCCAATCAGAATATCTGCACCATTAAAGAGTATATATAACCTGTAGACAGTTGATAACTGGAAGATGTCTGTACTTCCAGGAAGTTGTGGTGTGATGGCCACAGGAGAAGGGATGATACAGAGTATTTTCACGACTTCATAATGCATACACACAGCATTACCACCACATTTGCGCTCCAGGCTTGGCTGCCCCAGCATTCAGCAAAGCCTCCATTTCCCTTCAGAGATGCTATCATCAAATAACACTCCAGCACCACAACAGGAGGAGGTTAAAACATAAACCCAAGCTATTGATGTCAGGGCCTATCCAAACATTATGGAAAAGACTTGGGTCTTGCACTGTATCTTGCTGGATTCTGAATCCACACTAAGCACAGGGAAGTGATAGGAGATTTCAGTTGCTGGTGTTGGTGTGATCTAGTTTAGAAATAAGTGGTTGTTCCTGATAGCCAATACTGGTTGCTGAGACACACTATGGTGCGCAAGGGAGTTTCTCTAATGACAGGGTTGCACATCAGATGTACCTCTACAGAACACCAAATAAACAGTGCAAATTCAGGATCTGGAATATAACAGAGCCATTTAAACAGAAACAATATCTATGCATGACAATCACAGCTTATGGAAAATGGGCCAGAACGTTTAGCCCAAGCTAACATTTTTGAGAGTATTCCAGATGCAACCATGGTCTTTGTTAGCAGAAAGCTAACATGGGGTTTTTCCCTATGGTACTTTCCCAACAAAAACACTAACCAAATATGGAGGAGTCCCCTCCTTCCAAACCCATATGGCTTTTCCTCTTCCTGGCACACTGGCAAGGCCATTCCCACACAGAGGAGCTGTGCCCATGTGGGTAAGATCCTGGCTTCTCAGCTTTTTCCAGTAATTTGTTCCACACTTTGTATGATGGAAGCTGAGGTTTTCAAGGTCAGACATAATAATGGCACTTTTTAGAGCATGTCTATCACGTCATCACTTCAAGCAATAGGAGCACATGCACTTCTGCAGCAGAACATAACAGAACATTCCCCGCAATGGAGACAAAGACTAGTGGCTTTGATTGAAAGAACAGGGGACAACCCTACCACGGAAATCACTGCAGATGGCACTCACCAGCTTTCAGCTTGTCCCTGTTGTGATGTCCCACCTGAAGGGGGGATCATTGCAGTGCCCAGGGGCAGGACCCCAGGCTGCTGAGCCGAAGCTCATCTCTCCCCAACACCATGCTGCACCTCGGGGGTATTTCCAGTTGACTTGGCCTGAGCAGTGCTGCCTTCAGCTCCAGCACTGAGTGTTAGCGGCAGCATCTGCATCTGCCTTTGCAGATCTCCCACCCGAAGCCTGAGCAGGCACGTGCCTGTTTCGCCTGTCTGATCTGACAAGGTCACACAGCTCACAGCAGTCCACACGAAGGACTTGGCTTTCTCATCTGGTTTATTAGCTGTCACTTTGGGCACTTTGTGCTGCTTTGACTGGCATCACAGCAACTGCTTCCCTTCATGTCCTGCCTTCCAAAAGAGCCTTACGCAAGGAGGGGGGGCAGGCGAGGAGGACAAAAAGCAGGGAAAAAAGAGCCTCCAAAGATACAGTGTGCAGGCAGGGCAGTGAAGAGGATGCAAACTTAAACTAATCTGGTGCCAGAAAGATTTGTTCCTTGGGACTTTTAACAGCCTGGGAGAATTTGTGTCTCCTTCCTGCTGCCCAAGATCCCAGCCGGCTCCTTCTTCCAGCGATGCTTCACGTGTGAAGTTTCCTCTCCTTAAAAATGAACAGCTGTGCCCTCCCCTCTAAGTATTCTTCCACTTCTGCCCACTACTGTGCCTCTAATTGAACCCACATGAGCCGCGCTTTCTTTTCCAGGCATGATTGATGATGCCTTTGCACAACATTAGGGAGCTGCTGGGTTTTAAATAACACCTCTTGACCAGAGCAGCAGTGGTGGTGGCTTCAAGGAGAGATGACAACAAGCAACTGAATGAGAGGGCCTTTCAGTGAAGGACAAGAGCAGAGCAGTGAAAGACAATGAGGGAAAAAGGAGAGAAGAAAGAGCATCGGAGTTGTCAGGGGGGTGGGAAGAAACTGGAGGGAAATAGAAACATCCCAAGATCTTCTTAGTGAGAAAGGCACAGGAAGGATTTTGCTTCATTACTATGAAAACCCTTTTTCATTGTTGTTGCTGAAATCCCTAAATGGGGATGAGAGAGCGCAAGAGCCTGTAAACAGCTCAGCTTTTTTGTATTTTCAAACCGTTTCTCCTGCGCACGGTGCTGACGGGTTTTAGGGTTTGGTGATTTTATGGAGTTTTAACAGAATTTGGAATGGGAACTTCTCAGAGAGCAGAGATGAATGAATTTTTTGCCCTAAACCTGATTAAAATGGTGGCTTCAGAAGGCACAGAGGCCAGAAAGTGCAGAAACTGTTAAGAAGAATTTCAAAGACCCCTCAGATGTAAAAGATTGATTTGAAATGTGACTTGTGCCCCTGCATCTCTGAGGTGCTTTTGAAACTTTTGCTTTTAATTCTCTGTTCACCCCTTTTTTTTCTGCCTTTCGGTGAAATACAGAAGACAAATGTGGTTCAGATGCTAAACCAGGGTGTCATCTTCATCAGCATGCGGTGGTCATGGCCCACTGATGTTCGGTCTGCTCTTTGAGACATTGCACCTCACCTCAGCCTCCTTCATACCCAAGAGTGTGAAACATCAGCAAAGCTACTTTCCTTCCTCCTCTTCCTCATGCAGCCTCCCACGCTATCAGTTAAATGAGAAAAAAAACAGCTCTAGATCCTCAAATCAGTCAAACAAGCAAACTATCCAACTAGATGACAACAGTGAAACAACCAACAGTCAGTGTAAGGTCCCGCGATCACAGCAGAAGGTCCCTCTGACATAGATAACAACCCACATGCCCTATCTCATCTCCAAATGATTGTGATCAGAAAAGGAGCTAAAGCAATCGTGGAAGGAACACAATGCAATTCAATACAACACAATATGAGGAATCCAAGCCATTGACTCTGGACTTTCTTGGATAATTAATTGCTTTCCTACATGTTCCAGAAGTTCTGGTTTGAAGCACCTGACGCAAAGAAGTAAAACAAGACGATAGTGAAAGAAACTGTCTGTTCCTTTTCAACAGATCTCCAAAGCATATGAGTAAACTTTTAAAGCATGTGTTTAATGTGCTCAGCTGAACACGGAAGTCTTTAAGATGCTCCACTTGCAAAACAAATCCATTGGCCTCAGGGGTTTTATCGGTGGAAAAAAGATGATGAAGTGCAATAGGAGACCAGGGTGAGAGGAAGCATGTTGTAATAGGCAGTGAATCATATTAGCTAGGGGTGCTAAAATCCTCCACTCCTGTCATATGAGTCTGATCAAGGCTCTGAAACCAAACTTCTCAGAGCAAAACCATATACAGTTGGATGAGCACCTCCAAAAGGTACTTTCTGAATGTAAGTAACATGTTTAGGCTGTTTTATTTGGTTTGGGACTCCTGTGTGTTCAATATACAGATCCCTTCCAACTGCTTCAGCCATTCAGGCTTGTTTGAGAACTTGTTGTGTAAAAATGCTCAGCTGGAGCTGGGGTTCTGGTGCTGATGCCAATTAGGATGGAAGAGGCCCAACTCGCGGGGTCCTGTATTTGTTTTGTAATTGAATTGAAAGGGCTGACTCATTCCCCTCCACTCTGTCTCCCCCCTCTACAAGCTCATGAAGAACACAGGATTTCACAAATACAGACTGGCTGCTGAGCACGCTGCCTGCCCCAGCCCTCCCAGCCCCACACGTGTGTGCGTTGCCCCAACGACATGAGAAGATGGGGGAAATCATGTCCATGTCCTGCTCATAGACTGGGGTGTCTGCTCTGCACCCTGCTCCCAGCGGCATGTCGAGGCTGGGCCACTCATCACATACACCTCATCCACCTCCCCCAGCACAAAGGACCTGCATTTTATATTAAGGTTTAAAGAAATAGATAGTTTTCCTCAATACTCTACTCACTGCATCAAGACATGCTGCTTTGGTAGGAGTGGATTATTAATGCATGGCTTAGAGAAGATGGGGAGCACTCCCTGGCTCACTGGGGGTAGGTTTTTGGTGCTTTGTTTGGAAGCAAAGGGGTTTGGGTGCTTTTCCACCTCCTTACTCCCATTTCTGCAGTTTCAGGGTGTGGTTGGGAGCAGATGGACTGAAACTGCAAGGGAGTTAAGACATTGTTAGTCTCAACCCGAGGGATAAAAATGAGGTATTTTGCCCAGAAACTGGTTGTGCAAAAACACAAACACCCCACCCCCCCAAAAAAACAACCTAAGAAACATTGTTTGGCTGAGTAGAGCCAATGAGATCAAAGAAGGCCTGAACACATACTTAAACCTTTTGGGTTGAAAACTTCTAAATCTGGGGAACATCTAAGCTTTGCTCACTGTCAGTCCCTCTTCCTACAGAGTCAGGTTGCTCCTGTTCTGATAAGTATTTGGGTAAGTCCTTGTCCCAAGGGCTGAGCTGAGATTTTGGGGTTTAGACTCAGTTATTTCTCAGTCTCTTTACATCAGTTTGCTCATCCCCGTCTTGTGGGTCACACGAAACCAACAGAACAAACCTGGTTCTTGCTGAGATCATTGTCCCGCTGGACCTGCAGAGTGTAGCCTGCCTTGCAGCTCACGTTGCACTGGGCCCCGTTGTACCACCCGCCGCCGGAGCAGTCCAGCAGCGCGTGCTCAATCTCCAGCTTCTGGCAGTCAGTGGCTTCACAGGAGTAGTGGACACAGCTGGGGGGGAGGCAAGAAGTGGCATTTTCATTCAGTTCATTTCCTTCCCCCCGTAAAAACAAGCGTGTCTGACTGACAAACTCATCACTTGTCCAACATCAGGTACACAGGCTGCATATTGAACCCAGCTGACCAGGGAACAACCCTCTAGTTATGTCTTCTGAAGGACAGGGACAGTGATAACACTGATGACAATGAAGCAAATGACAGGTCTTGTGGTAAAAGGGAAGAACCTGCCAATTCTGCACAATTACCTTCTGTTCTGCAGTATTCGACTGCGCTGTGGCCTTCCTACTCCTGTACCAACATCCATCCATCCATCCCACAAAAGCATTCTCCCTCCAAGAACAGTTCTTATGCCCCATCCGACTATAAATCACAGCTGAATTCAGGACTGCTTGATATTTCTAGTGATAAGTGTGCATGTGTGTATGTGTGAGGAGGGGGTTGTGTGACAGACACTCTTATCTTTGAGGAACTCGACTGAAATCAACACATTCATTTCATTCTACTTCATGAGGGACACCAAACATCAGCTGTGTAGCTGTGTTGATAAGCTCTTATCAAGCTCAGCAGCAAGCTGTCATTTCACATCTCTCCAGTTGCTGTCCTCCCATCCATAAAATGTTTTCCTGGATGAAAACTGCTCTCCCTACAGTTAATTACTGTAACATTTAGCACAAGTTGTAAAAAGAGGTTTTTGTTTTATTTTTGTATACACAGAGAGGTCTGATTGACACAAAATCTTTGACTGTCTCTGACGACCTGAATCAAACATTACAGCACACGTCCCTCAGCTAAAGGGCAATGAAAATGCTGAGAATCTTAAAGCATTTAAGAGTGGACTCAGATTAGATACAAGGAAGAGATTTTTTTACAATGAAGGTGGTAAGACACTGTCACAGGTGCCCAGAGAGGTGGTGGATGCCACATCCCTGGGAACATCCAAGGTCAGGTTGGACTAGGCTCTTAGCAACCTGATCTAGTTGAAGATGTCCCTGCTTATGGTAGGGGATTGGACTAAATGGCCTTTAAAAGTCCCTTCCAACCCAAACTAATTTATGATTCTACGTGCAAGGATGTTTTGCTGGATTAGAGACAAAATCTCAGATAAGGATTTCTACAAGATTATTTGCTGAAAATTAAAATCAGTTTAAATTAAATACAGTTAAATTAATTTGGAGGAGGGAAAACCTGAACTTATTTCACCATCTGCATGGATTGGGAAGAACCTGAAACACAGAAACTTATAAAAAAAAGGGAAAGCAATGCATCAATACGCATATTTTGAAATGGATTACAAGCAAGCTACTCCTGTCTCCTAGAAAAAAGGTTAACAGCCACAAAACCCCCATCCACCTTAGTAAGCACAGGACTTAGCATGTCCATGCTGTTTTGCTGTGTTCAAAGCATTGTGCAGACATTATCTAATTAATTTTCATTACACCCCAGTGAGACACCTGGGCTGGTATTGTTATCCCCATGTTACTGATAGAGAAGCACATCTGCACATGTCTCCACAGAGCTCTAGATTAGATTAAATGACAGTATTATGTACCTCCACAACTCATTGCTGTGTCCCAGACTAGTGCTATAAGTGAAATGCCCGCTGCTTGTAATTTAAGGTTGCTTGTTCACTGCAGCACTTCCCTGGAGTGTGATGAGCCATAAACAATTTCTACATTCAGAAAGATCTTATTTCCTCATTGTGCACAAAGTATTGCCGCTGACAGGCCTGAGGCAGGAGAATTCCACCTCTGTATTGGCCAACTTGATACCCTTGTATGCAACAAACAGCGCCCCGTCTATCAGCACTGCAACTGTGATGCTCATTACTTCTGTAGGACAGATGATCCCCTGCCAGAGCTGACCTACATAGTGATCCTGCTGTCAGCAGGATCACCTCTGCCCCATACCAAGGGTTTCATGCATGCTTTCCAGATGCTGCAACTGACTGACATACAAATTTACACTGCCATGGATCTCACTGTGCACTGACCCATAAGACTGTGGAGGAGATGGTGGAATCATAGAATCAACCAGGTTGGAAAAGACCTTTTAAGATCATAAAGTCCAACCATTCCCCAGCACTGCCAAGGCCACCACTAAACCATGTCACTGAGGGCCTCGTCTACACCGTTTGTGAACATTTCCAGGGATAGTGACTCCAGCACTGCCCAGGGCAGCCTGTTCCAATGCCTGAGCACCCTCTGGGGAAGGAATTGTTCCTCAGCTCCATCTAAACCTCCCCTGGTGCATCTTGAGGCTGTTACCTCTTGTCCTAAAGAAGAACAAGTGGACAGCATACGCTAGTGCCCAGGTGGTCTCTTGCAGAGAAGTGAAGTGAGGAGAACACCCATGTGCAATTGTCTTTAAATGCCCAACATGAATCACCCAGGAGTGTGAACCACAGACTTGACTTGGGCAGCAGCCCCTTAGGCACCCTGAGCAGAGCAGTAGCCTACTACTGACCTCACAGCACTGCTATTAAGTCACCAATTGACATCAGCAGGCATATCTGAAA